AACTTGACTCACAGCTTTGTGTGACAGCCTTGCAGCTGTGGGTTCTGTGTGGGCAGATCCCGCTCACTCATCACAAGCGCTGCCTTGTCATGCTGACGCTCCATCACCAACTCCTGCTAAAGCAAAATGGCCACAAGCTAGTCGCAGGATGGGACAGGATGGTATGTGATAGCAAGGCAGGCATGTGATAATTCCACTGTGTACTCTCCCATGCCCCTGCAATCTACAGCGCCAATATTGTGAGCAGCAAAAGACACTGGGTGACCTCTTGGCTGGCACGTGCCACCTCTGCAAACACTCTTTCCAGGCCATGTGCAGCACCTCTAGGAGCAGATGGACCAACATACGGCCCCTCGGGGCTTTCTGACCGGGAGAGCTCACACACAGAGAGAGGAAGCCCTTGCTAAAGCACCAGAGGGTAAAAAATCATCATCCTCACTTCTTGGGGAGAAGCAGTAAAACTGTCTCCCCCTTAATACTTGTACACCTTGTTGTCAGTAGTAACCATGATCTAAGCCAAGGCCTCCAAACTAACACTAGGCCAACCTCCCTTTGGTCAAAAACCCCACGTGCCTACTGTTGTGTCCCCCCAAAACTGCCCTATCCGTACTAATCCATAGCCTTGGCTGTAAGTGTGTGTTTTGAATCAGTGTCCTGTAAACAGCCGCCACAGCCTTAGCACCATCGCTGAACTCTTACAAATGCTTCAGCCATACTTTCAATACACTGTTCAAGGGGCAGGGTGCTCACCACTTTCTTGTGGTGAAAACCTCACTTAACAGGAGGCTCAGCACCCTGATGTGGACATACTGTGCCACACCCCCAATTGGTGATGGCCCATCAAGGGCCCACTGATTAGTGAGGACCTTCGTTTTGCCTCCAGGGCATTTGTTTGTGAGGCTTGTGTCCCTGGATCTGTTCTTGATGGATTCCCTTTTCCCTGGGTATCCCATTTGGAGAGGTCCATGGCCAGATAATCCTGCTGCAATAAACGTTCCCTCGCTACACAGACCCTGAACAATCCATGCGACTGGCCAGTTCAGGCTCCCATCAGTGCCTCCCGAACCATGCCTTCTGCATGCTGGTGTCACTCTCTGTTGCTGGCTGTGGCCACCACCTCCCCCAGCCCCTCTGGGCCCCGCCGCCAGTCCGAGGAGTGCTGTGCCTGGCCCCTGCCTGCCAACACTGTGGGCATCCGCAGCTGCGGCCGGGCATAGAGCTCAGCCACTGCTGGTACCTCACAGGGTCTGCTCTTGGTACTACCCAGACACTTGTGCAACAGCTCTGTCCCTCTTTATCTGAAGAAACAGCTGAGCCCTGAAGCTGTTGGGGGCAGGTCCTCTGCAGAACAAACCTGTTTTCTGAGAAAATCACCTGTCTTCAGTTCAGAAGACTTATAGTGTCCTCAACCTTTCTGCACTAATACACAATTGCCAAATAATGCCAAATTAATTATGTTTTAGCAGCAATTTCTTGCATACTTGTAAGCAAGCGAAAAGTCAGGGAGCGTAGAACACGTATGCATTTTATAATGCTAAACCTGATGGTATTGTATGTCATATATATCCTCAAAGGTGTCCATGAGGGGTTCTGTCTCCGCATGTCCAAGCCCCAACCTGGCGGGGCCACCTCCAGCCCCTGTCAGAGGGCCAGACCAGCGGGCTGGGGGGACAGCGGGGCCATTTGGGTTGTGGTCAGGGGGTGCTGGACGGGGGTGCCCCAGCAAATCCAGCCCACCAGCAACTCTCCTCACTGCCGGCAGCACCACCTGTAACTTACTAAAAATCGGTACCTGAATTTACCTCTTTCCACCTTCCTGAACAGGACTCCTGAAAAATAACATTTAATAACTGCTACTTCTCGGAAGCCCTCTCTGCGTGCTAGCTAGCGAGATTTATTACGGTACCCAAGCAAAATAGAGTGGCAAGGTGGTGTTTCGCTGCTGCACGTGCTGCTGGCACAGCTGTCTCTCTGGGTATTCAGACCCCATCTTGTGACCCGCAGTGGGAGTGCAGGGGCTAACAAAGCGCTTCTCGGTTGTACCTGGCGGACACCCGGCAAAAGGTGCTCACCCCAACATGGGCTGTGCTGTAGCGTCTGTATTCGTCAGGAACAGAGTCCACTGACACCTGGAAGTAAAAAGGAATTTAGCAGCCGGCCGAATTTATTTCACAACGTTTCACCTGCACAAGGATGAAAACTGCATTGGGCTTCACCTTTCAGCTGTTCAGGCATCACGATTTCGTTTGTTCGACGTGCAAAACCTCTGCCTTGTCCAGACAGGAGTCGGGGCACCGTCTGATCTGTTCGTTGCTCTGATCGCCGAAACCAAGGCGCCGTGTTCCCTTCCCACATTTGAGATAAAAAACGTTATTTGTGAAGTAAGACAGTGATACCTGTGAACTAAGATCATTAGAAAATAGATATTTGTGGAATAGAGTTATTAAGATTAATTTAAGCTGTTTTAACCATATAACAATTGTGCTGTAGAACAAATACTGATCTTTTGAGGCACAGTTAGAATAACTTTAGGATAAGGAACTCACAAATAATCTTACTGGAGACGATTCGGCCTTGTAGTAGCAGGTGCAAAGAAACATAAAGGAAGCTGCAAACTAGCAAGAAAACCAGACCAGGCCAGCCTTGAAGCATAAGGTATCCGTGACCACAGGACTGAGTTTGCGCAGAAGTAAGGGTCAGCTGGCAGACACAGTGAAGAAGACAAGCCTTCATCTGAAGACCCCCAATGACCACCTGAAAACTCCAACAGGCATGCGTAAGAGACATTAACATATGCTAATGAGTTCCTGGAAAAGTTATGAGTATGATAAAAAATGCTAAAAATGCAATGAATATGTATGATTAAGGTAGTATAAATGTTTGTTGGTTTTGTTTTCACACACACACATTAGGAGGAGCTCTCCCCTGTGTGTCCGGTGCTGTAATAAAGAATGCCTGCTTTCTAAAACTCCAAAATTGAGTCTTAGAGAATGAATTAATTACCACTTTCTGGTAACAGATTTTGGCGACCATGGCAGGACACTGTCTGGCTGCTGGAACCTCTGAGTCAGTGACTACCTAGGCTGGCCCCAGAGAGGTTCTCTGGAGGGACTCACCAATTCAGCGGATCCTTACAGGGACAGACAAGGACCTCTGGTAAGGATAAGGCATTCTTTTCTTCTTCTGTTCTGAGACCAGTCATTCTGAAGCTGCCCCTAAGTCTCGGTTCATAAGAACCTGCAGGGCGGCATACATTTGCACGTATGATATCTATTGATCCTTGGGGTCATTATTGTCACCTGTTGGTGCATTTGTATCTGATTCTGTATCTGAGTCTGATTTTATGTTACATGCATATGCCTGATACATGCATATCTGAAAATTTCTGATTCTACCTCCTACTCCTTACCCAGCCGCACCTACCCTCCTGCTTCGGCGAGGAGAGTTAGAAAGCAAGGGGGGGATTGGAATCTCCAAACTTTGTCTTGGTTTCCTTAAAGTCGACTTTTGCTATCCAGGGTTATAATTACTTTTGTTATTATTTTTATTTTTTTAATTTGTGTTAGTAATGGTTAGTTTTGTGCAGCGTTCATTTGTGTAGTGTTCGTGTCCCATCCATCTCAGTGTTGTGTAAATACTAAGTCTAAATGGGGAATAAACAGAGCGCAGTTATGAAAAAAGAGTCCTTTGGGCTGTATTTTAGCCCACTGGAAAGATAATTGGGAACCACCAGGGAGAAGTGTGGACCATAAGAAGTTAATTAAATATTGCAATCAGTGGTGGCCTCTGTATAAGCTCAATGGAGAAAAGTGGCCCCCTAATGGAACTTTAAAATATGATACCTGGTTGCAACTCATGTTTTTCTGTGCCAAGAAGGAAAGTGGGATGAAGTGCTTTACACAGATATGTTTTTCACTTTGCAGAATCACCCTGAATGGCAGAAAGAATGTGGAATTAATTTAGCACCCCGGGACCCTATAATCCTGGTGTTATAAAAAAGAGAATAATAAGCAAGATGGAAAATTAAAAATATGTTGTTCATTTTGTAGTATCGGGCAGAGGTGTTTAAAGATTAGTTCACAAAACAAGGGATTGGAGGAATATTGGCCTCCCATCACCTCCACCGGGGAAGGCACTGCTATTGATGAATCAGAGGTGAGGTAAAGGGAAGAAGTGGGTGCTGTATTCTCTCCCATTACTACTAGAACTCAAAGTAACATGGTACCTGTTATACAGGCTCCACTAAAACAGGCAATGGGAGTGGGGAGGAACTAGCTAGGATTAAAGTGCCCTTCACATTTGCAGACCTAGATGGCTGGAGAGCAACTGCGGGGAATTATCAAGGTGACCCTGAAAAGGTTGCTAAAGGGTTCAAATTGATTGTTAAAAACCAGCAGAACATGGATTGGGAGTGTGTGGATGCAATGTTGGATGCAGCGTTCAGTGAGTCAGAAAAGCAAATGATTGTGAAAGCAGCCAGAGCCCAGGTGCAAGTTCAGATTTTGGCTGGAAGACTGCTGGGAACAGTACTGTACCGAATACTGAAGGTTCATGTCTTCTAAGAAGACAGCACTGACATTCTTGAGACAATGGAGCAATAGTTATTTTGCTGAAAACGTGGCCATATTAGTGCCTGCAATGGCAGATCAAGTCACAAAGTACAGGATACGGTTGTGCCAGAAATGTTCATATTTTTCTCATTTTTCTTTTCTGTTCAGTTATTTTTCTTAGTTTTTTTTTTTTTTTTTTGGCGGTGATTTGTTTCTTTTTGAAATGAGTGCTATTCTGAGCCAGTTTTAAGGCCCTTGGACAGAGCTGCCCGCAGGGACGTTCTCCCCTCAAATGCAGCCTCGGCGCGGCTGTGAGGTCACAGAGCCCTGTCATGTCATGATGGTCATAATACCGACCACTCAGCCCGCAGCCCCCGCTGCAGCACCAGCACCAGCAGCAGCAACACACACAGCACCAGCAGCAGGGGCAGCAGCACGGTGCAAGCACGGGGCCATGGCCCCCACCCACCACCTCCTCCTCATCCTCCTGCTCCTGGTGGCCCTGCATGCCAGGGCTGCCAGGACAGCTCCGTGGAAAGCGTGGGGAACAGGTAAGTGGGGGACGGCTCGTGCAGCCTTTCACGGGCCAGAGGGCTCTTCTCCCCAGGAAGCGTGGAGGATGATTTTCTCCCTCCAGTGCTTTAGCAAGGGCTTCCTCTCTCTCTGTGTGAGCTCTCCCGGTCAGAAAGCCCCGAGGGGCCGTATGTTGGTCCATCTGCTCCTAGAGGTGCTGCACATGGCCTGGAAAGAGTGTTTGCAGAGGTGCCCTGTCGTTACGAGGGGCCCCTTTCCAGTGCCTGCAGTTCCCTAAGGCAGGCGGGGATCCCAACATGCAATGGAAATGTTTCACATCTGTGTCTGCTTCTAGATGAGGCTGGTGGCAATGGTTACAAGGCTTCTCAACTCAATGGTGACTGGGAATCTTTGGGCCATCCTGGAGGTAAGTTCTCAATGTCCATTTTGTTGAAAGAGTGAACACTGACAACTTGGCAAGAGTTTATTCACGTGCAGATCTCCTGAAGACCCCCTCACTGTCCACGGCTTCCCAATGTCTTTATCTAGTATTCCTGTCCTCCAGCCTGAGAGCAATCTCACGGGTAATTTAGAGGCAGCAAGGAGCATCTACCTTCTAATTTTTTCTTTCCGTGTGAAATGCAAGTTGCTCGTTCTGCGGCCGACGCGCAGACGTGCAGAAGAGCAGAGAGGGAAAGGGTCGGGCTGAGTGCCGTGCCCCGGGGCGCTTTCCCTTGCGAAGCTCTTTGCCGGCCCCTGGGAGCCTGAGCTGCTCCCTCCCGGTGCCGGCTGCCAAGCCAGTGGGCTTCTTGGGGCTGACTTCAGAGCTGGTGCGAGCTCCAGGGAGTCCTTTCTCCCAGTGGCTCCACGCGTGGTTCATTTTGTCCCAGCGTGGTGCCACTGCAGGCACACGGTAACTCTTTGCACCAAGCTCCTGAGCGGAGGGGAGGAGGAGTGCCGTGGAGTAATCCCGTCTTTGCCCGGCGCTCCTGAGCTGCCACTCCGATCTGAGGAAGGATCCTGGACTGTGTCACCGGAGCCGTTCTGTCCTGTGCTTCTTTGCAGCCGTGCCTGTAGGCGCAGGTGATGCAGCTTGGCAGCTGGGTTCCAGGACGGCGACTGCGGGAGATGGCACGGGTACGTCCTGGCTTTTCCCTCCCCTTCAGAGCTGCCCGCTCACAGCCCAAAGGTCAGCCGGCCGGGCGCCTCTGCAGGTGGGAGGACGGAGACCTGCCCGTGGGTGCCCTCTGCTTGCGTGACCCCCTCACCGCTCCTGCGATTCGCGTCTGCCAGTGTAGATGACGGGAGCTTCTCTGGGTGATTAATAATTACAGATGTTCCTGACGGGAGGACTTTTCCAGCTCCTCGGCTGGATCTGGTGCAAGAGTCTGGCTGGCATCCCACGGGTGAGTATTCTGTCCTCTGCTCACCTCACAGGCTGTGCACTGGTTTTGTGCAATTTATTCATGTGGAATCGTACCAAATACGTTCTGTTAAGGTCCTCCCAGAGCTGAAGGAGGAAAAAACTCCCGGGAGCCATCAGAAATCATGAAGAAAATACTGGAGGAGCTGGAGAGAACACAGGGTGGGTACACTTTGCTCTGCCTTAGCCGTGAGACTCGTCAGCCGGAGCTCTTAGATCCGTGTCCAGACACGCCGTCGCCGGCCCAGCAGGCAGGGGTCGAGCAGAGCCTCGCAGCAGCGATGCTGGGTTTCACGCCTTGCAGGCGCTGGCGAGCCACAGAGATGGGGCAGAGCCTCTGCTGCCAGTTGTGGCTCAAGCCAAGTGCCAAGGGCAGCTGGTGCCCCCGTTTTACCATCACGGCTCACAGCTGGCTTGTGCAGATGTCGGCAGGCAGATTTATTTATCTAAACCTTACCGATGGCTTTGAGAAGCGTTGCCTCCTGGAGGTGCCACCGCCCTGATGGGGAACGGTTCCACCTGACCCAACTGTCCCGCTTTCTTTCTCAAGAGACAGACCCAGAGGCTGTGCAGGAGTCGGCGTTTCCAGGAGGAAGCAGTGGCTCACGGCCCGCCTCTGCCTCAGCAAGGGAGGCGATGCAAGCCCCCCGCATGCCAGGTAATTGCTGTGCCGGGGTCAGCCGCTGGCACCCATCGGGATCGCTGTGCGTCAGCAGGCTCTTCCCCACCCCAGTCCCGCTCTTGCACGTCACGTCAGCAGCCAAAGGGGAAAGTGCTGTGGGCTCGCGGCACCTGGGCCACGTTCCGCAGATGATGGGGAATGTAACTCTTAATCCGACGCACCTCCCGCTGTAGCTGCATCCCAGAGCTTGCCATGAGTCCCTCGAGGCCCAAGAGCAGCACAGAGCGGGATCCCTCCCGTGAGCCGAGGTCCAGAGCGATGCCCTGACTCCCCAGCTGGGCAGGGGCTTGGAGGGAACCTCCCGTCCTCCTGCATCCTCTGTGCCTGAGCCATGCGGAGGCTTTACCTCTCCTCTCTGCTTTTTGGCAGTGCTGTCAAGGTTTGGGAACATCATGGCAAAGTGTATGAATTTCCTCAAACAAACTCAGGTACTGAGCAGTCTTGCTGGGGTCCTTCAGTGGGAGATAAGTCCAGAACTCTGGGAGCGGCTGCAGGCGGTGCCCATGCTGGGGAAAAGGCAGAAGTGGGGAGGGAGGCTCAGGTGTCTCTTGAGAAGTCCTGACTCCATCCCCTGGTGATGTGGGAGCTGCCCGGGGGCAGGGAGAGTTGGGGGTGGCACTGCCTGCTGCAGGGATGGTTTCTTCTGTCCGTGTCCCTCGAAGGAGCGACTGCTCGAGCAGATGCGCTCCCCGCCACGTGCTCCTCTGGCCGCCTCAGTTTTGTTTGGGGGGACAACCTGTCCCAAAGGGTGGGAGCGTGCCTCCGGGCACCAGCACTGGTGGGAAAGGAGACCATCCTCACCATATGAGATGCTGCCAGCTTACAGTGGTGCAGGACAGACTAACATCCCAATTGCATCTCCAGGTGCGGTCGGCGAAACACCACTTGTCCCGTCCCCAGAACACAAGTGTCTCTGTCCCAAATGTGGAAGGGCTGCATGATGGCACTGGTAGATTTGTGACTCGTGCCACTTGCACTGCTGTGTGCGTCTGCATCTGGAGGTGCAGGAGAGAAAAGAGTGAGTCATGATTTTCCCCACCACCACTTTCTTGCATGGCTGCTCGTGGGCCGTGCTCTGGAGAGGAGTCCCTGTGTCCCTCCTGCAGCCGAGTGCCTCAGCGGCTCCTCTCTCCACAGACATGCCCCTGCACCTTGGGACACGGCTGGAAACCAGCTGCCCCTGCACCCGGTCACCCACCAGCCACCCCGGCACCCGCTGAGACACAGACCAACAGCAGCTGCAGCCCCGCGAAACAGGCACACTGCCCTCCAGACGGGCCCCACTGCCTCTGCACCCCAGCCCACCCCGAATGCCTGAAGCCACAGAACCTGCCCAGCTACCCCGACCAACCCAGACATCCCACTTGCCCCCATGTCCAGCTGCACAGGAAGGGCTGAATGCGCTTGTAATGTAGGGTTGAGGGTGGGGAGACAGAGCCCCCCACCCAGAGCTTCGGGGCAGCCCTTTCACCCCCCCCATGAAGAGGGACAGAGTCGGTGCAAGCGTCCACATGGCCCTAACAGCCAAACCCCACGAGGCACCAAGCACTGGCTCATCTCCACGCCCAGCTGCGGCTGTGGATATGCCCACTATGTCCACTCGCGGTGGAGGCAGGCAGGAGCCACGCACGGGGGGCTCCTCTGACTGGCATGCACAGCCCCCGTGAGCTGGGGAAGCGTTCCCCTCACTCCCCCCAGGCACGCAATAAAGTTACTGTAAGCAGAAGATTGCTTTGTGTCTGAAGTTTATCAACTCTTTTGGCCTGAACAGATTTCATCTTTACACAGCAAGCTGTGGTAGTCTACAGGAAGTCTTTAAACTTCCCTTGTTAAAAGCCAGGTTCCAAGTGCTATTTTTCCAGTCACCACGCGCTTGTATTCTAAAATTCCCAAAGCAGGGGATGCGTGAAGATGACACTGCAGCTGTGGAGCTGCCTAACTTTCCCGAGCAGCAGCAGCAGCAGCAGCAGCAGCAGCAGCAGCAGCAGCAGCAGCAGCAAAGACGAAGGCGTTTGCTGCCTACCTGTCCTGGGTTGAGTGAGTGGTGGAGTTTTTGGTGGCAGGGGAGGGGGCTATCGGGGCGGCCCCCTGTGAGAAGCTTCTCGAAGCTCCCCCAGCTCCACGTCAGCTCCACTTCTGTTTGGGAAATTGAGCCAATCGGCTGCGCCTCTGCGATAACGTATTTAAGAAGGGACGTGGTGACGGGCAGTGGGACTTGTGAGGAGGAGTTGCTGCAGCTGCGTGAACACCAAGGTCAGTGGAGGAACGGAGGAAGAAAGGAGGGGGGAGGTGTGCCGGAGCAGAGACCCCCCTGTATCCTGTGGTGAGACGGCAGGGCGGCCCCCCCCTGCCACCCATGAAGATCTACGGTGGAGCAGACATTGATTTACGGCCTGTTGTTCCTGCTCAGCTGATCAAGGTTCTGTGCCCGAAGAAGGCCGGGGTCTCATGGGAAAAGGTGGCCCCGCTGCTGTAATTCAGTGCTGGGAGGATTGCAGCATGCGGGGGAGTCCCACACCGGAGCAGCTCGGGAATGGCTGCAGCCGTGGGAGGGAATCCAGTCGGAGGAAGTTAGTGACCCATGACGGAGCAGTGTGGGGAACGCTGCGGTCCATGGGAGGAATTCAAGTCAGAGAAAGTTTGTGGAGGACTGTCTCCTGTGAGAGGGGGACCACGATGGAGCAGGGGGTAACAAGTTTTGGACACTCCCCTCACCGAACACGAAGGAAGTGGCAGCACTGACTGCACCCCCCATTCCCTGCCCCTGCGCCCCTGGGGGAGGAGGTAGAGATATCGGGAGCAGAGCTGAGCCCGGGAAGAAGGGAGGGGTGGGGGGAAGGTGTTCTCAAGATGTGGCAATGCTGCTCACTGTCCTACTCTGTTATGTGTTGTTAGTGTCTGTAATAAATGTATGTTCTTTTTTCCTTCCCCTAACGAGTCTGCCTTTTGCTCGTGATCATAAAAGGGGGATTTTCCCCCATCCCAGTCCTATCTTGAACCCCATGCCTGGCTCTCTGTCCCTTCTCATTGCCGGAGGGGAAGGGAGAGAGAGCTGCTGCATTGTGGTTGGCTGCCAATCAGGCCTAAACCACGACACTACCACAGCCAAGGGCTGAGGCTCCAGCCAGCCCCCAGCCTTCCCCACACGGTGGGGAGCAGCCAGCGCTCGCAATGCCAGTGCTCTCGTGATTAGGCCCGCTCCGCAGCATTCCTAGGCCCGCTTTTAACGGAACCGCTTGTTAACGGGGCTTTCCACAGAGGCGGCCACCCGTCTATCATCCACCGCCTCTCACGCCCATTGGGTTTGGGGCCGTGCGGCACCGCCTCCACCTGGGACGCTCTCCCCTCACTGGACAGCGGGGAAAAGTCTCCGCCCCCTCCGCCATTTCTGCCGAGGCTGCCGCAGGAAAAAAGGCGAAATGGCGCCCCCGGCGGCCGCCCCTCAGCCGCCGCAGTCGACGGGGCCGCTCCGGGCCTCTCCTGTCCTGCTGCTGTCCTGTTCTGCTCGAGAAGCCGTCTCGCCTCGGAAGGCGCTCCGTTAGCGTGGTGTTACTCGACCGAAATCCCTCGCCTGGCGCGTGGCAGGGGCTAGGGCTTCCCGCAGGGCGGCGCGGGCTCTCCCGCGCCCTCGTTTTCGCGCCTCTGGCGGCACACCGCGGCTGCTGTCACGGACGCACCCGGGCCGGGTGCAGAGCAGCGCGCGCGGCTCTGCCCCTGCCGTGGCGGGAAGAGGGGGGCGGGACCGCTGCTCCACAGACAAGGCCCTCAGCCAACGAAACGCCTCGTGGGGCGAGAGGAGGCGCAGGAGCGCTGGCCGCCTAGGGCCGGAGTTCAGCTCCTGCCGGGCTCGAAGAGGCGGCCCCCGCGGGAGCTCCCCTCAGAGGGCGCAGCGGGCGAGTGTTCGGAAGCCCTCCCCTTGGGACGGGGACAACCCCGAAGGGAGCTTGGTGGGACTGAGTGCCCTCAGCCCCCCGCCCCCCTCGGTGAGGGAATGGTGCCTCGGGGTGAGCTTGAGTGAGCGCTTGCCCCCTTCGGGCACCTCTGAGGGGCGGGTTCCCCCTTCGGAGAGTGGGTGCGCACCTTGGTATCATCACTGTTCACGTGCCGTCGTTGTCGTTCTTCCGTGTTGCTGTGCAGCAGCAGCTGACGTGCGGAAAACAGACTCCACAATCTGATAGATTGTAAAGTAGGTATGTTTATTCAGCGCTGGGCACACAGGGGATCACTCCTCCTAATGCGTGCTACCATGTGGCACCATTGCCTTAGATTTATAGAGCAAATGATTACATATTCATAATATTTCGCAATACGCCTATACATATGCATCACCTATCCCCGCTTCGTATTAAAATTAGCATTTCCATGGTCTCCTCCCAGTTGAGTCTGCGCAGTGAGTTCCTTTGGTCCTGGGCAGGGGTCGTGAAGGACTGGGCGGTGGTGGTCGTGGGAGGAAGTATCTCCTCTTCCTCAGTGCTGAACTTTTCACCCCGGATTCCTGCGCAGTCTCTGTCACCCCCTGGACCGGCAGAGCAGGTTTGTGCCGGTTGTGGGGTAATCTTCACTTACTCAGGGGTGGAGGAGGCTTTTTACTTAAACAGGAGATAGTGGTCGAGCAACACAAACATCTTCACTTACTCAGGGGTGGAGGAGGTTTTTTACTTAAACAGGAGATAGTGGTCGAGCAACACAAACACCTCCAAACACCTTGTACAAGCTAGGCAAACCCTTATCTCGACTATTTCTCTTGTCATCCCCTTCTTGCTATTCCCATATTAACCCTTACATCCCCTGTTCCTATCTAGGCCCTGTATCAATCCCCCCTTTTCTTATCATACTAAGTAAATTCTTTTACTTCAACAATTTTCCCGAATAATATAAAGCCTCATGCATAGCAGTTATCCTTTTAAACATTCTCCAGACCCATAAATATAACATGATGGTTAGTACTAATAAAATTCCTAAACTACCTAGTAGGATCACAATGGGGTGTATCATAGTGTTAAGAATCCCTGTTGCAGAAGGCGACCAGCCGAAAAAAGTGTCCCACCAGTTATGACTTGCATCTTGTTTTGCTCTTTGCAAAACCCTGTTTATTTCTTTTGTATCATGGTGAACAGTGACTAAAGTTTTCTCTCCGTTTTTCTGAATTTCTCTCAAGATCCCCAACAGATCTTGGTGTTTAATCAATTGCCTTACTAATGTAAGGTTCATTCCAATAGGTGTAGGTGATAACTCGAGATACCCTGTGATTTTAAATTTTATCAACTGGTGGGAAACCACTGGTGCCCAATATACAAAGTCACACCCAATGATCTTAACAAAGTTACAAATACAGAAATTAGAATGATTCCCAATGGGCAAAGTTACATTGTCATGATCTATCTCTACGAATACACAAGCAGTTCTTAAACATATACAGCCTTGACCAGTATATACAATCACCGTTTTTTACTATTATCTGGGTGAATTTCGAAGTGGCAAATACTTTGCTCAGTGTCAAGGCATACATCTTGGGCATCAATTGTATTACTTTCACAAATGAACCCCTGTTGTTCTTGGGTAATACAAGATTCCACATTTACAGTCTGCCATTTCTCATTCACCTTCCGGGCCCATGCTCTATGTTCTGAAGGATAGAGCACGTGTCCTCATGATTCAATCCTAATGCAATGATGGGGTGGATTACATAAACTGTGGCATTATGTATAGTGAGCACAAAGGCAGTAGCTATGTTAGTAGTGGGGTCATAAGTAAAATTCACCATAGTCCACCAAGATTGGAATCTCCTTTCAAAATTGGTGGCTTTGTCCCAAACAGCCTTTGTTTTCCTGCCCAGTAAGTAGAGCTATTAAATGCTCTGCATCTGAATTTTAATTTCTTGTCCCAATGTTCCCTGCAATTGTGGTTCTCCTGGATAGGCATCCCATTCTTCTTTTGTGGGCACATTTGTCCCCTGCATAACTATAGTAGCCAACGTGTGGTTGCTCACATTTCTAGTCTTATTAGTATGCCCAATGTAAGCCTGGGACCATGGCCATTCACTGAACCTTCGACTATGCATTAGAGGAAAAATGATTATCAGACTTATCGTGAGAAGCGTAATCTTCCTGGCCGAACTTGGGTAACTTTCCATGGGGATTTATGGGCTTTCTTTACTCGGGTGTGATGTATCCAGGCCGAGTATTCCCTAATCTTGATGGCTGTAAACGTCGTGAGCAGCACCTGGAATGGCCCTTCCCACTGTGGCTCCAAGGTTTTCTCTGTAAGAGACTTAACATACACATAGTCCCCAGGTTGTATATCATGTACAGGTCCATCCAGCCCTCTACCTCGAGTACCAATTACATGTTTTCTGATCTTATTGAGTTGCTTCCCTAACGCCACCATGTAGGAGCTCATGATTTCATCTCCAATTTGTGTGGATATTCCTTTTTGTACCCCGTATGGTTGTCCATATAAAATTTCAAAGGGGCTTAGCCCTTCCCTTGCCCTTGGCCTTGTCCGTATGCGTAAAAGGGCCAAGGGCAAGGACTGAGGCCATGTCAGGTTTGCTTCTTGCCCCAATTTTACAATTTGCTGTTTGATTAGTGGTTCATCTTTTCCACTTGACCGCTTGACTGAGGGCGGTACGGGGTATGAAGCTGCCAATCTATACCCAAATGGTGGCTAATTTGTTGTACTACTTTTGAGACAAAGTGTGGTCCTCTATCTGAGGATATGATTGCCGGAACCCCAAATCATGGTATTATTTTATTCTTGTATCAGTTACAGTTACTCCCGAGCCTTAGCTGTTCTAGTAGGGAATGCTTCTGGCCAGCCTGAAAAGGTATCAGTCAGTACCAACAAATATCGATACCCCCCTTTCTTGGTAATTCCGTAAAATCTACTTGCCATTGTTGCCCAGGCCCCTTGCCCTTCCCAATCGCCCATTTCTAGTTTGGGGGCGTTTTTGGGATTAGTCCGGAGGCAGATGTCGCATTGTCGAGTCACCTGCCTTACCGTGGTATACAAATTTCTGGCTACAATCTCTTTATCAAATGACTATACAAAGCTTCTGCTCCCCAGTGTCTCTTTCTATGCTCCTCTCGTGTGAAATGCCATAGTAAACGAGAGGGGATAATTAACTTCCCCTGTGGGGTATAAGCCCACCCTTCCTTGTTATATGTCCCTTCCAGATCTGCAATAAGTTTCTGATCCTCCCTGGTATATTCTGGTTTACTTTCCAGGGAAATTTGCCTATCGGGAATAAGTGCTCCTTCCGTCTTTATCTCTATTTTGGCAGCCCGTTTTGCCTCCCTATCCGCCAGCTCGTTTCCTTTTTCCAATTCAGAGTTCACCTTTTGGTGTGCTTTAGTATGCATAATCGCCACCTTCTCAGGAAGTTGAACAGCTTCTAATAGTTTAAAAATTTCCTCCGCATGTTTGATGTTTTTCCCTTGGGAGTTCAATAGTCCTCTTTCTTTCCAAATTGCTCCATGTGCGTGCACAACTCCGAAAGCATATTTGGAGTCCGTGTATATGTTTATGATCTTACCCTTGGCCAGTTCCAGGGCTCGAGTTAAAGCGATTATTTCTGCCTTTTGTGCAGAAGTATTTGCAGGCAGAGGTCCTGATTCTATTACCTTTTGACTGGTGGTAACGGCATACCCGCGTGTCGATTACCGTTCAGGACGTAACTGCTTCCGTCCGTGAACCAGTTCTCCTCATCCTTCATGGGGCTTTCCTTCAGGTCAGGGCGACTTGAGTATGTCGCCTCAATTGTTTCCAGACAGTCATGGTGCACTGGTTCCCCCACATTACCGCTGAGGAAAGAAGCTGGGTTGACAATATTAGTGACTATTATCTGTACATCATCTTGTTCTACTAGTGCAGCTTGGTATCTCAGAAATCTTTGTGGGGAGAGCCAATGCCCTCCCTTTGCTTCCAGGACTGCCGATACTGTATGGGACATATAGGCAGTCATTTTCTGGCCCAGAGTGAACTTCCGAGCTTCCTGTATGTTCAATATCAGGGCAGCCACCGCTCGCAGACACCCAGGCCACCCTTTTGCAGTCGCATCTAGTTGTTTAGAGAGGTAGGCGACAGCTCGTCGGTATGGACTAGGTCTTGTGCCAGTATTCCCAGGGCAATGCCCTGCTTCTCATAAGAAAAGAGAAGAAACGGTTTACTCACATCTGGGAGTCCTAGAGCCGGGGCCGACATCAAAGCCTTCTTCAGTGAATCGAAGGCTCGCTCAGCCTCCTCATCCCATTCGAGGTGCGTCTGTTCGGTGTTCGTTAGCGCATACAGGGGCTTAACAAGCAGTCCATAATTATAGATCCATAGCCTGCACCACCCCGTCATTCCCAAGAAGGTCCTTAATTCTTTTACTGTCTGAGGTTTCAGGGTTTGACATATGGCCTCCTTACGGGACTGTCCCAAAGTTCTTTGCCCCGCAGTGATCTCATAGCCAGGTAGTTTACTTTACGTTGTATCACCTGAGCTTTCTTCTTAGAGACCCGATACCCCCGTAGTCCCAAAAAATTTAACAAGCTCACCGTCCACGTTGTGCACAGTCCTCTTCTGTCTCAGTAGCGATCAAAATGTCGTCCACGTACTGCAATAATTTTCCTTTTTCGGATGGGGCTTCCCAGGATTCCAAGTCCTTTGCAAGCTGGTTGCCAAAAAGAGTAGGGCTATTCTTGAACCCTTGTGGCAACACTGTCCAGGTGAGCTGGTCTTTCGACCAGTTTTAGGATTTTCCCATTCAAATGCAAACAACTTTTGGCTGGCTTTATGGAGAGGAAGGCAAAAGAAGGCGTCCTTCAAATCTAAGACAGTAAACCAAATCAACTTTAAAGGTTTACAAAAATACGCCTTTTCAGATTGGCCGGTCGCTCCCTTTACCATAACATAGTCGTCCCCCAGTGGTATTAAAGCTTGATTCAAAACAGAGTACGTTGCTCCTGTGTCTACCAAAAGTTCTACTTCTTCTTGTTCTCTCCCCAGCTTAAGTTTAACCAGTGGATCCGCCAGGGTAGATCCCCCAGGTCCCCGTCAGTCCTCTGTTACATTTGACATTCATTGAAGCCTTCCCATTCTCCAACCCTTGCACAAAGCACTCTGATCCCGCCCCAGCCGCGGTCGTTGCCTGGCCGGTCTCTGAACCAGAGTGGCCATCAACTTCATCTGTCCTTGTCGACCTTCTTCTTCCCTGTTGCTAAACACTTTCCACGCCTCCTCTAACAATACCTCCAGATTCCCACTTTCCGTAGGGCGCAGCTTCTGAAGTTTTCAACCTTATCCACCTTCGTACATCTCTGTCCAATACTACATGATGAGCAACACCTCTTTAGCTTACCCCTACTTTCCTTACTTTCTCGTTCAAGTGCGAGCACCATAGGGTCCTGTGGGGGTACTAACCCACAGTCCCTTTGCCACTCTGGGTGGTTTCGCAAAGTGAAAAACATATCTGTATGATACCTCATCCCATTTTCCTTCTCTCCTTAAAAACAACATAAGTTGTAACAAAGTGTTATAGTCCAGTGTTCCATTAAGCGGCCATTTAGCGCCATCCTCCAGCTTATAGAGCGGCCACCACTGATTGCAATATTTTACAAGAGTCTTTTGCTTTCCGTGCCTCTGCTCCCTGCAATGTCCCGCCAATGGGCGAGTATACAGCCGAGAGGGCTCTTTTTTAACACCCCTCTCTGAGTATTACCCATCTTGTTTCTGTAAAACACTCGCTTAACACGATCACCACACAGCAGTCACTCACAATCTTATGATCACCACACAGCAATCACTCACAATCTCCCATTCTCACGGACGTCCACATACTTACAGCACTTTCATCTGAAGTTAAAACAGAGCACAACAAAATAAAACACTACAAAACAAAACGCCTTTTCAATCACTCTTGCCTGTGGCCGCCCTATCGGCCAACAGGTCCCCCCCCGATTGGAGCCAGCGACCGCTCTATCGGTCTGTGGCAAGATGTAATTGCCCCCAGACTCCCCTCACCCGCACGACAAATAGAACACAACAAAACAGAAGAAAACACAACAAAACAAAGGCCTTTCAATTTGGAGCCAGCGACCGCTCTATCGGTCTGCGGCAAAATATAATTGCCCTCTAGACTCCCCTAACCCGAATGGAGCCAGCGACCGCTCTATCGGTCTGCGGCAAAATATTGCCCTCTAGACTCCCCTAACCCGCACGAATTCGCGCCTTTTCGGTGCACCTACCTGGCTTAGCTGCACGCCAGACGTCTCTGCGCGATTTACCAGCTGCCCCAGCCACGCGTACGACTTACAGGCTCCTATCCTTGAACACACCGTTTAGTCCGCGGCTTCAGGAAGTCCTTGTCTGCTCCCACGGTGAGCGGCTGGTAGCGGAGGCTCCTCTGAGGAAAGTGCTCGGGGCGCGCCTGGGAGAGTCCGCCCTGCAGTCGATCCCGCAGTCGAGCAGAGAGTCTCCTGCCTGGCTCGCCAAAACTGACGTGCGGAAAACAGACTCCACAATCTGATAGATTGTAAAGTAGGTATGTTTATTCAGCGCTGGGCACACAGGGGATCACTCCTCCTAATGTGTGCTACCATGTGGCACCATTGCCTTAGATTTATAGAGCAAATGATTACATATTCATAATATTTCGCAATACGCCTATACATATGCATCACCTATCCCCGCTTCGTATTAAAATTAGCATTTCCATGGTCTCCTCCCAGTTGAGTCTGCGCAGTGAGTTCCTTTGGTCCTGGGCAGGGGTCGTGAAGGACTGGGCGGTGGTGGTCGTGGGAGGAAGTATCTCCTCTTCCTCAGTGCTGAACTTTTCACCCCGGATTCCTGCGCAGTCTCTGTCACCCCTGGACCGGCGCAGAGCAGGTTTGTGCCGGTTGTGGGGTAATCTTCACTTACTCAGGGGTGGAGGAGGCTTTTTACTTAAACAGGAGATAGTGGTCGAGCAACACAAACACCTCCAAACACCTCGTACAAGCTAGGCAAACCCTTATCTCGACTATTTTCTTGTCATCCCCTTCTTGCTATTCCCATATTAACCCTTACATCCCCTGTTCCTATCTAGGCCCTGTATCACAGCAGCGTCCCCAGCTGGTACGTGGAACTTAGTTAACTGTTATCGGGGCGTTGTTTTGGCTGCCCGGTCCCCGTCATCTCACTGGCTTCGGCTGTTTGGATTTGGTTGCAAACTAAAGTTTGTTAAAGCTTCTTGTCCGTGTGAAGCCGCTTTGGTATACCTCGGTGACCTGGTGATATTCCTGGTGGGTTTTTTGAATGTTCTGGGGGACGCCCAGGGCCTGTAGGCGCATCAAGGTCTTTCAGAGGAGGAGAGGTGTTCCTTCAGCTTGCTGGTCTGTCTGCAATACCGGAGTCCTCGGGACTAGTAGATGCTCAGGGAGGGAGGTGCTGTGTTTCGAAGCAAACTTGAAACACAGGTCTGTTTTCTGTGCCTCTTAATTCTCACAAGGTCACTGGGCTAGAGATACCTTGGAAATGGGGGAACGCACAGAGTCGTCAGTCTTTGTTTTGCAAGGAAGGGTTTCTGTTTTCTTGTTCGGAGAAATGTTAGAAATAAGGAGACGTCTGTGAGTTCTTAACAGTTGTGTTCAGGGAGTTTGACTGATGAAGTTCTTAGGTGGTGGTGTCCTGTCTTAATACTTCACAAATAACGTTTTTTATCTCAAATGTGGGAAGGGAACACGGCGCCTTGGTTTCGGCGATCAGAGCAACGAACAGATCAGACGGTGCCCCGACTCCTGTCTGGACAAGGCAGAGGTTTTGCACGTCGAACAAACGAAATCGTGATGCCTGAACAGCTGAAAGGTGAAGCCCAATGCAGTTTTCATCCTTGTGCAGGTGAAACGTTGTGAAATAAATTCGGCCGGCTGCTAAATTCCTTTTTACTTCCAGGTGTCAGTGGACTCTGTTCCTGACGAATACAGACGCTACAGCACAGCCCATGTTGGGGTGAGCACCTTTTGCCGGGTGTCCGCCAGGTACAACCGAGAAGCGCTTTGTTAGCCCCTGCACTCCCACTGCGGGTCACAAGATGGGGTCTGAATACCCAGAGAGACAGCTGTGCCAGCAGCACGTGCAGCAGCGAAACACCACCTTGCCACTGTATTTTGCTTGGGTACCGTAATAAATCTCGCTAGCTAGCACGCAGAGAGGGCTTCCGAGAAGTAGCAGTTATTAAATGTTATTTTTCAGGAGTCCTGTTCAGGAAGGTGGAAAGAGGTAAATTCAGGTACCGATTTTTAGTAAGTTACAGGTGGTGCTGCCGGCAGTGAGGAGGGTTGCTGGAGGGCAAATGCTGGATTTGCGGGAGGAGCAGAGTGCTGTCATGAGGCAGACCATCCCATCCGTCAGATAAATAAATGAGGAGGTGTGGAAGATGAAAAACCTGTTGACTGCCGAGGAATTGGCAGCCTGAGATTGCAGTACAAAACAAGAACAAGGAAAACAAAGGGGAACTACGAGTTAACTGCACAGATTAGCACCTCTGAAAGGGAACCCAGTGATCGAATCCTGGGAACAAAAACCACCTCACTTAAAACATAAGGACTTGGCTCAGACTTTTGGAATGCCAGCTGCAAAGGACTGTTATCTTCATTCTAATTTTACCTGGGAACGGGGCACTACTGGGGGAAAGAAGGGGCTTCCCTTTCTTTGGAAGGCATAAAATCACAGTTTGTTTCAATAAACGATTTCAGTACTCTCAAGTGCTGGGGTCCGTGCCTTCAGTATACCACAAACGCTGCCCGATTTGGGTTTTTTTCAGGAATTAATAGAGACATGAAGAATGGAAAAGAAAGTGAAGAATGATCATTCTTGGTGGTATACTCCCGAGCTGGACGGAGGGAAGGACATATTGAGTACTCATTAAAGTTTTTCATCACCGATCGCTGGACCACACAGGTGAGCAGCTACGGGAAATTCTACATAAACAGACATTACGTGGCAGTTAGCAACTAAGGAACAGAAATTGTATGCAGAGATTTTACGAAGAATATTGCGTGAACAGCAATTTAAGGTTGCCCCTGTGCAGATAGTAAAGTTACTTGTTTGGGTAAGGGATCATCGTCCGTGGTTTCCGGAGGCTTGTTCTTATGACTTAGCCTTGTGGCAAAAGGTGGGCGAGGAAATTCAGACTAAACAGTTTTTGCATCTGGAGACCCCAGAAGGGTAATCTTAATAACATGGTGAGTTGTCTCTACCACCTTAAAAACATTAATGCCTGCAGAAGAAGTTTTGCAAGGGGCTTCCGATAATAGTGCTGCAGCCGAATCGAGAGAACCTGAGAGAACTGAAAATGTAAAGGTCAGAAAAGAATCTCGGTCATTTGAATTACTATACTCCAGTTCTAATCATGAAAATTCAGAGGTGCCTGCTGAGTTGCCAAAGGATGAAAGTTTGGGTATGGATGATCCTTTTGATACAGGGTCAATTAATCCAGGTCAGGAGGCAAACTTGTATCCACCGTGAACACCAGTAAAAGTGTTACAGCCTCAGCCCCAACTGCAGATGAAATTTTACAGCGACAACGGCAAACTTCTATATCACGGCTTTCTATATCAAAACCACCTCCCTCCGCCCCGGGGCCACCTTCATAGCAGTCACCCGCTGCGGCTGCACTGGGTGAAGTGCGTACTTGAGGATTATTAGACGAATGTCGTTTTGAAGCATTAAAAAAAGGGGATATTTTTATTTTACAAGCTATGCCAGTCATTTATCTACCTAAGAGGCCTCCGGAATATGCTCGTTTACCATAGGATGTTATTAAGGAACTCAGAAAGTATATGAAGGAGTATGGACTACAGGTGTCTTTTACAATGAACTTGTTGTAAGCTACAGCTGACTCCTATGTCACGACTCTGTTAGATTGTAAATCTATTCTAAGATTGATTTTATTGGCTACTCAATTTTCTGTTTGGGCTTAAGGACAGTAGAGCTGCGGGAATTGCATCTGGAGAACGAGAGTTGCTAGGACAAGGTAACTTTGCTACTGGAGCGTCGGCCTGGATTTGGCCTCAACGCAATCAGCCACAATAATTGATACCAGCGTATCTTTATTATCAACAGGGATTTTTGGCCCATTACCAAGAAGTTTAAATGCTCTATTACTTGGCAGGTCTACTACTAGAGCCGGATTGCTTGTACTACCAGGAGTAATTGATTCTGACTATATGGGAGAAATAAAACTATGGTGTGGATACCCCACCCACCCCGTACTATACCGGCAGGAGAACCTTAGACACAATTGATTTTCTTTCCCCATATAGTCAGTAACAATCGACCTGCCTTACAACAGCAGAGACGAGATAAAGGTTTTAGGAGTTCTGGTATGCCAAATACTTTTTGGACAAAAAAAGATTACAACAGGACAACCTATGTTAACCTGTAAGGTAAATGGTCATGCAATAACTGGGTTATTGGATACTGGTGCTGATGTTTCTATCACACAAAAAGCAGATTGGCCCCCTGAATGGCCTTTAATTCAAGCTTTTGCTGAAGTTACAGGAGTAGGGTGGAACACAGATACCATGGCAAAGTAAACATTCATTACTTCTAGAAGGACCAGAGGGAAAGCAAGCAGTGTTTGCAACCTTATGTACTGCATGTACCGTGCACCTTGCGGGTAGAGACTTACTTCAACAGTGGAATATGACTTTGTCAACAAATTTTTAATGAGGGCCACTGAAGTCCAGCTGCGCCTTAACCTAACTTCACTTGCGGATCAGCCTGTGTGGGTCAGTCAGTGGCCTTTGAAAGAACGGCTGGAGCAATCTTGTCTGTTAGTAGAGGAACAATTACGGGCAGGACATGTAGTTCCATCTACTAGCCCATGGAATACTCCAATTTTTGTTATTCCAAAGAAACCACAAAAATGGAGACTTTTGCCACATTTAAGAGCTATTAATGCTGTTATGGCACCTATGGGAACCTTGCAGCTTGGGACACCTAGTCTAACAATGATTCATGAGAACTGGAATTTACGAGTCATTGATTTAAAGGATTACTTTTTTACAGTTTATCTACACCCTGATGATATCGATTTGTTTTTTCCTTACCTGTGATAAATAATGATCGGCCAATGAAACGTTTTCACTGGGTAGTCTTACCACAGGGCATGAAAAATTGCCCAACCATTTGTCAAAATGTGGTGAATGAAGCTCTTTCTCATGTCAGGCAAATTTATAAGGATATAATTTTATATCAATATATGGATTACCTTTTACTGGCCACAGAAACACTAACACACCTGAATATTGTATCTGATTCCTTAAGACATGAATTAGGTCGATATGGTTTTCAAATTGCTCCAGAGAAAGTACAAAATGTGTCACCTTGGAAATATTTAGGCTGGAAAGTATATGAATCTACTGTTTATCCTCAGACTGTCAGAATTGCACCTACGATACAAACACTGAATGATTTACAAAAGTTACTGGGAACTATTAACTGGTTATGTCCCTTAAAAGGGATAACCACACAGGAATTGTCACCCTTATTTTGTTTGCTTAAAGGGGGTACTGACCTTACTTCA